TGTCTCTGCTGTTATAACACAGACTTTATTCATTAGCCTAGCAATGGACAACTACCGTTGAGCACGATAATTACATATTTTCAGGCTAGGGCAATGATGCAGTCAATTAGGTGGTACATAAGAGACACTATTGCCTTTACATTACATTATGGTCATATGCATCCCAAACCACTTCCGGAAGGTGGTTTGAGCGATCGAATCACAGTGCATCTCTGAAAAACGTTGGACCCAGTTCACATCTGTACTTAGGTCTGTCCTCTTATGATCAGATCACTCAGGACGCATGTTAATGCCAGGAGTGAACTGGCCTTCTTTGACTGCAGCCCATCTGCAGCCCTTGAAAAAGCCACACTACTCCATTCATCAATGCCAAAAGACCACCATAAGAATACCGTTCAGAAGATCTTCTTTAAAGTGGTGCATCTTGTTTTTCATAATTGCAGTGACAGTGAGACTGACATGGTATTGCGACAATCAGTTGCGAGAACAGGCACAACAGATTTCTTGGAAACACTTACTGTGTTTAGGTGTTGAGTTTGAGATGTCAGCTTCTTCTATGCACAGTCTAGGGTAATCATCTTGTTCAGTTGCCAGTCTCCGGACTGCTGATGACCAGTTAATTGTCTGTCTGACTTTTCTGAACTCAGCAGCCACACTGAGAAATAATTCTGCTGTGTCTGATATATCTGCACCAATGTCTCACACACTACAGTACCAGGATCCCTGTTATGCCGACAATGGTCCACTACCCATATAATATCTGGTCACTGGTGGTCTGTTGGGGGTTACTTTCTACTGATATCTCACAGTTTTAGAGAAGACTGAAAATGTACATAACAGATTCTGAAATATCGTATTGATTATTAAGTTGATTATAAATTTCTGAAATACTCAAACCAGCTCATCTGGAACCAACATTCATACCACGACCAAAGTCACAGAGATCACAATTTTTCCCCGTTCTGATCGTTGATGTAAACATTAACTGAAGCTCTTGACCAGTATCTGCATGATTTCTTGCATTGCACTGCTGCCACATGATTGGCTGATTAGAAAACTGCATGATTCAGCAGGCGTAACCATGTTCCTAATAAAGTGGACGGTGAGTATGTTTGGCCATATAGTGTATGTACCAGGCTGGCATATTGTAAACTCTTTTTGCATAAGAATAAATGCGGCAAAATGAAGTGTGTGTCAGAGATGTAGAGATGGACTGTACTACCTCCAAATGGTTTCTCTTTGGGCCACTGCAATATTCTCACATACTCAATGCAGTGTTCAGGCAGCCGCGGCATTGATGCAATAGTGCACATTGGGAAATTAATCTGGAAACACACAACAGAACCACAGGCAACCTCAGTCTCAAAGCACTGAATCAAACATAACTACACATTCCATCTGACCAAAAACTATTCATACTTTAATCAATACATGATTACTGGGCGCTTTGATAACACTCTCATATGTTAATATATACATCAGGTTAAATGTTCTAAATTAAGCTTCAGTGGTGTGAAAAAGTATTTTTTTCATTTTAATCGATCATTTCATTTACTGAAGGAGTTATGCAGGGCCTATATCACCAATATAAAAAACTAACTGCCTCCCTAAACTTAATAACAGGCTATTCCAGCTTTAGCAGCAACAACACTGGAATCAAGAGCAGGAACTAATGACTGAATAAAGATTTTCTGACAGAGAGCAGAATTCATAGTTCCGTCAATTATGCCAATTCGCCCAGGCCCTGAAACAGCAAAGCATCCCCACGCTATCAGAATACCACCACCATGTTTGACTGTTGGTATGATGTTCTTATTGTGGAATGCTGTTAGCTTTATGCCTGATGTAATGGGACTTATGTCTTCTAAAATGTTCCACTTTCCACTTTTTAAATCAGTCCACAAGACCATTATTCCAAAATCTGGAGGTCATCAATGTGTTTTTTCGGCAAATGCGAGGTGAGCCTTTATGTTCCTCTTGGTTAGCAGTGGTTTTCACCTTGCACCTATTCCATGGATACCATTTTTGCCCAGTCTCATTCTGATGATAGAGTCATGAATGATGATCTTCTCTGAGGTGTAAGAGGCCTGCGGTTCCTCAGATGTTCATCTGGGTTCTTTTGAGACTTCCTGGAGGAGTTGACGATGCGAGGAATTTTGGCAGGCCAGACACTTCTGGGAAGAATCACTACTTGTCCAAGTTTCTCCATTTAGAGATAATGACTCTCACTATAGTTTGCTGGAGACCCATAGCTTTAGAAATAGCGTTGTTACCCTTTCCAGACTGATATATTTGAATAACTTTCTTTCCCTTTCTTCTAGAATTTCTTATAAATCACAGCACAGAGTGCTGCTTGCTGAGACATTTTAGCATTTCACATTGCTATTTAAGTGACGTTTAGATTCAACAGTGCTGGCAGTAATCAAGCCTGGGTGTTTCCAGTCAAATTGAACCCAATTATCAGTTAAATCTGGTTGACAGCATAACTAAGGGGGCAATTACTTTTCCACACAGAGCCAGTTGGTGTTGGAAAACTTTTGTCCTTCAATAACTTAAATGATCATTTAAAAACTGCACTTTGTGTTTATACAGTATGAGCTTGTCTTGTATTAAATTTAGTTTGAGGATCTGAAACAAGTATGTGTGACAAATATGCAAAAAAAAAAAAAAGAAGAAATAAGGAACTACTTTTCCACAGCACTGTACCAGTTTATGTAAGAAACCAGACTACCTGCGGAGGATACAGCTCCAGTGTGCAGTCTATACAGGCTGTCATTCCAGGCAAGATGACCCTCAGGTTCCCTTTAAAGCCTTCTGTACCTCCATCTATTAGTGGGATTATGGAGCTGGGATCCAAAACCCCATCTTCATAGATAAGCAATGACAACTGAAGGGAGCACACACAAACAAGTGTCTAGCAAGATGACGCTACATACATTTCATCACCCAGTTCCACTTTTTCACTACAGAAATAGGTGATCTGGTTCTAAACCAGACACTTAGTATAGATTTCCATGTGTGCACCATCATTCTTAACACATTCTCAATGCATTCATATTTAATCCAGATCAGCTACTGGGTTTGAATTAACATTGACATTGTAGCTGGAACATTTTAAATATTTGTGAATATGTAGATGACAGAGGAATGATGGGAGCTTTGAAGCACTTCTCACCAGCATTCCATTCATCCATCGGCGAGCAATGATGGAGTCCAGCCCGCACACAATTATGTGGAATTCTGCACAAGAACCCCCCCACGAAAAAAAAAAAAGAGAAGATGAAGCAACAATTTCTTCATAACAATATATAACTGCCCAATTACAAGCCAGGCCCTGTTTGGATATGAAACTTACGTCTGTAAAAAGATTCATCAAAATCTTGAATTTTCTTAAAGTGTCTAAATTACACCAGTTAAGGAAGCAAAGTACCAAAATACAGAGGAACAGGGCATTTATCATATATATTCCATTGCAACAGAACACACAAGCAGCTCGTTTATGCAGCGAAGGATACGGTACAGCATGACATCCTGGAACTCGACTGTTGATGAAGTCGGCTGCCACCTCAGCCTTGGGACGCCCGACATCCTTAGGCCTTTACACACAAAAGCTCAATATTAAACCTGCTTACCAACAACTTTGATCTGAAATGAAATGTAGTAGTACTTCAGCTGAATGAACTGAATCCTTGCCTGAAGAGGAATTGTCTGTTCAGATTGGACACGTCAATAGTGTCCATATCTACGACGTGGATGTCCCGAAACCCTGACAGTGCCTAAAGGAGAAGGATAAAAATAACACAGTCACTAAGACACACACGCTAATGTTGAGCAGTTCATTCAGTGTAGACTCTGGTTAGTAAAAGCAAACAGCTGAGATTTACATACACAAATGGTGTATTTGATTGCCTAACCCATCTTTTAACTGTATGTGAACATTACCAGGTTTTTTAGTAGCTCACAGCCAAGACCTCCAGCGCCAATCACTAGAATTTTGCATGTTTCCAATAAAAACTGGAGTGTCTGCAAAAAAAAAACAAAAAAAACAAAGCTATTTGCAAAAGAGAGAACCATATTTAATTCAATTTACTGATAAAATCTATTAGTTATTCACCTCTTCGCTTGGTTCAAAATCAGGGTGTGTGAAGGGTCCAGACCTTTCCAGAAACTTTTGCACATGGCTCCATCGCCCATCCCAATCACTGCTGCTGCTAACATCCACTGCCATTCTGGAGAGCAAAATCCGATTGCTTAATTTGAAATGATTTTCAACCAGGAAATAAATACAGACCAGATACAAGTCCATATAGCTGTCCAAATGAATATATACAAAGCAAACATTCATTTTTTGTCTACTTATGAATTCACATTTCCAAAGAAAACGACATTAACAGCATGTTCACGCTGTGTGGGACTGACCACTCTAAACCGCCCCTAGGTGTGCATCAGTGTGTGCATCAGTGTGTGAATCAGTGTGTGAATCAGTGTGTGAATCAGTGTGTGAATCAGTGTGTGCATGGTGCCCTGCGATGGACCCATCCAGTGCATACTACACCGCGACCCTGACCAGGATAACTGAAGATGACTGAATGAATGTTTAAGTGTGCAGCGTGTGAGCAGGCTCTGCACTCAGGTCACTTTTGCAGTATTCTACCCCAAGGGCATCCTGAGATTCAGTGCAAGCCTGCTGGTTAAAAAGGGAAACTGCTACATTTCTTTAAGTGTACTACTTACAAAGATCATTTGTATTTTAAGTTATTTTCAACAAATTGCTGCCAACTTAGATCTTACACCTAATCAAGAAAGTAGATTTTTATTATGCTTTAGGAGTTATTATTAGTTTTGTCCATGAACAATTTAAAAACTAATATATATATATATTTTTAAAGAAATTAGTCTGTTGCCCATGTTCTTAAGAGTGGATTCCTTGGCGTTACTAATGCGCAAGGTGTTTTCTTTTGTTGTAATTATGTACTCTTATTACAGTTTAATGCTCAGGGTTCCTGGAGAACTAGTGGTTAGGCCTTGGCGCTCTCGCCAGCATGGCCCGGGTTCAATTCCCGGCCAGGGAACTGATCCCAGTCACTGGGGTTTCACAAGACAATGCACTTTCAGTCCAAAGCCCAGATAAAATTGGGGAAGATTTTATCAGGAAGGGCATCCAGTGTAAAAACTGTGCCAAATCAAATATGCAGACCACTGATCAGCTGTGGCAACCCCAAACGGCAGCAGCCAAAACAACAACAACAACATTACAGTTTAATGCATGGGGGAAAAGTTGTTTTTTTTGTCTGCTTTATCTGACATTTTGCTATTTCTGCAGTTGTGTACACACTCACGAACCTCAATTACAACATCCAGGATTAAATTAGCAGAAACAGGTCTCACCTGGATTTTAGACTGAATTAGTGGGAACGGGTCTCAATTAGTTTTTACATCCAGACTTGAATAAGCGAGAATAATTCTATCCTGGACTTTACATTCAGACTTGAATAAGCAGGAAGAGGGTTCATCTCGATTTTGTTAGAGGTACACACTGAGTTTGTTGTGGTCTGTCTGTCTTATTTAAGAGTCTTTACATCTATCTATCTAATATATATATATATATATATATATATATATATATATATATATATATATATATATATATATATATATATATATACACACACACACACACACACTATGTACTTTTTCTTTTATTTATTTTAGTTCTTTTAGTGGAATGCACTCCCCCCTACACACACGCGCGCGCACACACACACACACAAATTACAGCAAAACACAGGCAACAGTCGAGACTGATTTGATAGAATAAGACAAGGTAGCTAACATTGGCCACAGTGCATTATGTGAAAATTCATCACCACTTCACAGAGCATTGACTAGCTAATGATTTCTCTCTGATCTGTGTACAGGCCTTGTTTATGTTGACAGCTGGTAAGCTAACGCTAGTTAGCCGTTAGCCAGTTAACGTCTTAAAATGAAGCACAATCCGGAACCAAAATAATCCACCGGTTACATTCCACCTTGGGGTTTACGTTACTACTTTTCCAAACTATATGGGTCACTTTTTTAGCAATGTTTATATACTGAACTTGGATGAAAAAGGATGAATTTTCACACTCCCTAGGCTGTGCAATACTCAAACCTGCAGCCAGCGCTTAGCATTTCATCACTAACTTCTCAGGCTGCTCCTCTATTCTCTGTCTTTTCTTCGCCCTAAAATGAAAGAGGAAAAGAGGATTCAAGCACGTCCTTGTTACACCGGCTACTGGTCAAAATATCAACAATATCTGTCCCTAAAGCAGTTCGTTCATTCAACGCTACTTACGGCTCTTCCCCATCCGCCATACTTTAGCGTTTCACGGTTCCATGCCTCCCCACAATGCTTTGCTGCTGGGGCGAACTTGAAGGTTGAACACAAAAGCCCGTACTACAACATAATAGTAGTTAGTATTAGTAGTAGTAATATTAAATAATATGTGATAAAACATTAACTGAGATCCGCTATTGGGGATAATTAATAATAATAATAATAATAATAATAATAATAATAATAATAATAATAAATTTCACTCAAACAACTGATGAAACTACTTACTTTTAGCTACCAATAGCGGACAGTAATGGATATAAAGAAAATAATAAATCCATCCATCCATTCTCTGTACCGCGGGGTAACCTGGAGCCTATCCCAGGAGACTCGGGGAACCAGGCAGGGGACACCCTGGACGGGGTGCAACCCATCACAAGGCACAATCGCACACACACACACATTCACACACTACGTACAATTTAGAGATGCCAATCAGCCTACAGCGCATGTCTTTGGACTGGTGGAGGAGACCGGAGTAGCCGGAGGAAACCCTCGAAGTATGGAGAGAACATGCAAACTCCGCACACGCAGGGCAGAGGCGGGATTCAAAACCCCCAACCCCAACCACTAAGCCACTGTGCCCCCCAAAATAATAAAAAATAAGTAGATAATAATAATAAATAAATAAATAAATAAATAAATAAATGGGTAGTAGAAAAATATGTAAGTACATTTATGAATGAGCAAGAGCATGCTGGATATTTTAGACCACGATATTTAAGCCCCAAACGTGCTTGCCTCAACAACAAATCAACACAGAAATGGTTGCATGAACAAAATGGATGTTTTGCAATGGCCATCTGGACATAAATCCTAAAAGGTCCTATAAAAACCTTTATCAGATACCAAGTATTTGATATAAATACCATTATCATGCTAGTCACTATTTCCCTTTCTTTTTTTTCATGGGACCTCTTCCTGAAGCGATCTGTGAAACTGCTTGTGACTGCATTTATAGTTTCAGCTACCCTGTCCTCCAAAGCTGGAGACGGACTCCTGTTATCTCCCGTCATCTTTTCTTGGCTGCAATGAGTTTTTCCACATAACCCGAAATCTAGCAACCTGTGGGCCTGTAAATACCTGCTGCTAGCATGGTTGAGTGGTTCTCCCTTGCTCACTTGCTGGGAGGACACAGTAGTGTAGTAGACATGCTGTCAAGACAGCAGAAGAGTAGCACCTGCACCCAGAAGTGGTGTCACAAATCTGGGCAAAGTTTGAGAAGGCACAGGTAGACCTCTTCAGTGATGCTGAATTGACTCATTGTCAACTGTGGATCTGCCAGGCGGAGCTGGACAGTTTCCAGGGTCAGGACGCAATGGCCCACGACTGGCCTCACTGTCTACTGTATGCATTTCAGCCTCTACTGCTGATTCTGTCTATATTGAACATAATTCCACAACCAGGCCACAAAGACCTGCTTGTGGCTCTGAAGTGGCCCATGAGACCTTGGTTTCTACTGCTGCTCTCACTAGTGGTTGTAGCACCTTGGCAGGTTCCTCTTTCAATAGATCTGTTGCCCCAAATTAACAGAAAAACTTGGCACCTTTGGCCAGATTACCTGCACCTGTGGGTTTTACTTCTTGGAGTGAAGTGCAGGTTGAAAGCTGTGACCTAGCAGTGCAGGAAACTCTGTGCACTGCTGAATGCAAACACTCGCTTTGTGGTTGAGCGAGGGTTTGTGCCCAAAGTAGTATCACCTATTTTGTTAACCAAATGTTTGATACTGCAGAGTATTCCTTGTTATGCCCCATACACACCCTACTGCCCTATTTGTACAGGACAGCTGCGATCCAATCATCAAATCAAATCACCACTCATTTGTCATGATGGAAAGACATGGGGAAGTGAAAATGAATGAAATGAAATGAAATTAAATGAAAGCCTTTATTGTCACTGTATATCTCTATATACAATGAAATCAGAAGCACTACTTCTGACTGGTGTTATAAAAAAAAACATATAACATTAGACAATAAATAGACTATAAAGTGAGTATACCATTTTGTATAAAAGTATGTATGTACAGCAAGTATACAGTATAAAGTATTTACAGCAGGTGACTAAGTCATAATATTGCACATTGAGCATTCAGAACATTCTGAAAAGTGATAGTATTGCACATTACCCTCTACATTGATGTAAACAGTTTGTATAGACACACAGAGTACAGATTGAAACAGAATAAGTGACCATAGTTGAGTAAGTGACCAGAGATAGTAATTGCACATTTACATTCTACATTTAGTGCATTGAGAATTAGAGTCCTGATAAATAAAGTGACCAGTACTGCACATTGACATTCTACATATGATATAAACAGCAAGTGTAGACAAAAGTAGAGATTGTTGAAATCAGTCACTGTAGTTGGACACAGTGATCACCACGGCCTACAGGTGAGCCAGACACCTGATCCCTGCTGTAACATGCTACTCTATGAAGATCTTCTACTCTTCGTGAGCATTATTTAGAAGCGTGCTGCTCCAGGAAATCTGGGCTGTTGCTACCTGGGCATCGCCTTCTCCAGGTTTTCTAAGGTTAACACTGCCCTCTTTCAGTGGCATAAGGGTGGTGGTCATCTACGGACATCTTTCCAGTCAGTCTTAAGGTGGGTCAGTTCCTCAGGACACATATACACTGGCCTGGTGGTTAGGAGGGGTGAAATAGAACAATAATTACGTATGTAAATATAAACTATATAAACGGAGAGGATAAACGTGCTGATTTAGTCGGAACTTGGCATGAAGGCTCCAGGAAACCTACGTGTTTATTGAGTACATACTGTATTTATTAGGGATGCATTGCTACCTTAAATGCCATGTCATTTATCCATTATCTTTAATAGATAGTGTGAGGGGAGCCGACCTGAGCACACAGAGCAATAACAGTCAGCATACTAATTAAAAGTGAGCACAAGGTGCTGTGAATTGCACTTTGACCCTCAAGCAAAGCTTACACCCTGGGAAAAGGAAGTGTGTGTGTGTCAGTGCTAAGTGCTCATAGAACTAAGGTTCTTTCCTGTGCAACAGTTTCTCTGTATGCTCACTTCACTGCTCCATGGTCATGAATACTTAGTGTGTGAGCAATTAAAGGCACCTTGCACACTTTTTTTAATGAGCATGCTCACTGATATTGCTCTGTATGCTCACGCCGGCCACCTTTGCACTCTCTATTAAAGTTACTGTTTAAAAACGTACAATACTTAATAGTATCACACTATCATATGTTGGTATCAGAGCTTTTTTACGAGTATGAGTAAATGAGCAAGGTATCAGACCGATACCCAATACTAGTATCAGTATCGATGCATCCCTATTTATTTTTGAACATTTTAATGAAATGTGCTGATAATTCTGGAGCTGTCTGTACAGTGTATCCCTATCATAGCTGGTTTCAAAATACTTCTTACAAACAGAATGCTAGCCATCCTGTGACCCTAAATACACAGCAGACAATGTCACATTTGCCAATTGGCAGGTCACTATGTGCGGTACTAACTGCTGCTGAGGATGCTAGGAATGCTAACCGCAGCTGAAGTAGTAATTCCCTTGGGCCTGTTGGAAGTAAGAGACTTTCAGAAGTGGGTTATCAGATTGTAGCTGAACCCCAAACACTTCAACAGAGACGCATCCTTGTCTCAACAAGAGTGGGAGAAATGAACCCTGAATATAACCTTGAAAAGAAAGAACACTACTT